GCAGGAAGCACCTCAGTCCATCGCTCGTTCTTCTGGCAATTGATTGCGGCCTTGAGCTGACGGTGGAACCGCTCCACCATGCCATTGGCTTGAGGATGATATGCCGTTGTTTTTAGGTGGGTCGTCCCTGTCAAATCGTTCAACTGTTTGAACAGGTGGGACTCGAATTGCCGCCCGCGATCCGTCGTGACCCGTAAGGGCACCCCGAATCGAGCGATCCAGCCCTCGTAAAAAGCCCTGGCGACCGTCTCTGCCTCCTAGTCTCCGAGCGGCAATGCCTCTGGCCACCGTGAAAAACGATCGACACACGTTAAACAATATCGCATGCCCTCCGAGACTGGCATTACAATTATGTCAATGTGCACGTGCTCGAATCTTCTTGAGGGTGCAGCGAATGCTCCTATCAGAGCTGCGACGTGCCGTGTAATTTTCGCCCGCTGGCACGGCACGCACGTGCGGGTCCAGTCGCGGCAGTCCGCTCTCATCGACGGTCAGACATAGCGTTGAGCCACGAGCTTGACCGTCGACTTTATTCCCGGGTGCGCCAAGTTATGAACCATGTCGAAAGCGGCCCGCCGAAAGGGCCTTGTTAAGAAAGGTCGTGGCGTCGCTGTTGCCGTGTCACAATATACCGTGACTCCTGTTCCTGGAATCTCTATCTTCTCCAACCGCAGACTGGATTCCGATCTCATATATACCTTGATTTCCTCGTCGCTCTGCTGTGATTCCGCCAGCGCCGTGTAGTCCATTGGCGAGTGGAGTTCTTCGATCCTGGACAGAGCGTCCGCCACCTGATTCTCGTCGCCAGCCACGTGCCTATCATCCGTCGTGAACTGGCTAATCAAGTCGAGGTGTCGGAACTGATGTGGCGTGCTTTTCTCCAATTTTTGCCGGAACGCGAATATCAGCGGCTTATGATCCGTAAATATTATAAGTTTCCGCGCTTCCACCATATGCCGGAAATGGGAGCGTCCCGTTTGACCACGTCCCGATTGACCACGGCCACTCACAGCGGTCGGTGCCTAGAGATTTTCCACTGTTCAAGCGCTGTGAGTGGCTGGTGGTCAATCGGGTATCACCCGCCGGAAATACTTTACGGCGAGGTATATCGCCAATAGCTCCCGATCGAATGCGCTGTATTTGCATTCGGTCGGGCTGAGTTTTTTTGAGAAGAAAGCCAACGGCTCCCAGCCGTTCTCGTCCCGCTGCTGCAATGCCGCCCCGACAGCGTGATCGGATGCGTCCGTGAACAATGCCAGCTCAGCGTCCGCCCTCGGATGCGCCAGGAGAGCGGCCTGAGCCAGCCTCTCTCTTGACGCCTCGAGACGCCTGTTCGGCCTGTGGTGTCCACGCTACTGGTGTCTTCCCCTTGGCGTTGTTATGGAGAAGGTCATTCAACGGGGCTAGAATCTCTGCAGCCCCCGGCACGAACCTCCGGTAAAAGTTCAACATGCCGAGGTACCGACGAAGCTCCCTGGCTGTGCTCGGTTTCCGGAACTCGTGAATTGCCTGAACGCGCGCGGGCAACGGCCGGGTCCCCTCTCCGGTCACGAGGTACCCGAGAAACTCGATCTCCGACTGATCGAACGCGCACTTTGCCGGATTCAGGACCACTCCGTATTCCCGTAATCGATCGAATAAGATTTGAAGATGTTCGCGGTGTTCCTCGGCCGATGACGACGCGACCAAAATGTCATCGATATACGCGTAATAAAAGTCGAGGCCGCGCAAAACCTCGTCTATAAAACGTTGGAACGTTTGCGCCGCGTTCCGCAGACCGAACGACATAAATGGGAACTCGAACATCCCGAACGGAGTGGTAATCGCGGTCTTCGGTATATCCTCTTCCGCCACAGGGATCTGGTGGTACGCCCGCACCAAATCGATCGTTGAGAAAAACCTTTTGTCTTGGAGAGCCTGCGCGAAATCTTGAATGTGTTTCACTGGGTAACGATCCGGAATCGTGCGCGCGTTTAACGCCCGGTAATCGCCGCACAGTCGCCACTCCGCGTTCTTCTTTTGCACCATGTGCAATGGCGCTGCCCAGCAACTCCTCGACAGCCATGCAATACCGATTTCGACCATCCTCTCGAATTCTTTTCTGGCGGCGGCGAGCCGCTCCGGCGCGAGTCTCCGCGGTTTGCATGCAACCGGCGGTCCCGGCGTTGTCTCAATATGATGCCGTGTGTTGTGCTTTACTATACCCGGTCGTCCTTCCGGTCTCGTAATATCCGAGTATTTCGCTAGCAATTCATGGTATGGCGTACCACCGACGACCGTTTTGATGCTTGGAGCACTGTCTCGCACGCAGCGCCCGGGCGCCGTGAGATTCGTGAGTTGATCTACGAGTCGACCGTTCCGCAAATCCACGAGGAGACCATAATGCGCTAAGAAATCTGCCCCGATAATGGGCTTCGTCACGTCCGCGATCGCGAATCGCCATGCGAACGACCGCCGCAATCCGAGGTTTAAAATTAACAGTTCCGTACCGTATGTGTAAATCGTTGTGCTGTTTACCGCCGAAAGTTCATACGTCGATCTTTGTCGCGGTCCGCGCACCATCCTTCGAGGGTATACGCAGAGATCGGCGCCCGTGTCGATTAGAAAACTTGCTCTTGTGCTCCTATCCGTTACGAACAGGCGACGCGTCGGATGGCCTATATCGCTTGTCGCCATCAACGATGGGCCACTGCATTTCCCTGCTGCTGCATGGAACAGGGAGGCTCGCATCGCTTCGCGTCCGCCCGAAAACGCCAGTGGTAATAACACGAGCCGCCCTCTACGTGCCCACGGCTCCGCGATCGCG